ACATCATATTTTTTATTAACCAATAACTATACAACACTTTAACTAGTTTATTTTTACATTAACTAAGTTATCTTCAATTCTATTGGCAAATTATAGAAAATGAAAATCGATGAAATAAAATTGGCGCTTCTTAAATTGAATCACAAGGGAAAATAGAGAATTCAGGGAGATTTGAAATATTGAAGAGCGAATTGTGGGGAAAATGAAGAAAAGATGAAAAGAAAAGAAGAAAGAATACTCTGTAACTGATCATAGAAGGAATATCACGAAGTAAAAATAATAAGAATAATAAACTATGGAAGTGTAACCTTCGACCATTATGCTTACAAGGGGATGAAATTGCAACCTCCCAACTAATTTTTGTTGCACTAGCAAATAGACTTATAGAGCTTGAACTAATCCAACAACTTACCACTTGTATTATTATACATTTTTACTTAGACTCTATGGTTTTGTACCTTACGTAAAGAATAATAACTCATTCAATAAATAAGAAAGCTACCCTCTATTAGCATTTCCTCTCTCTCTCTCTCTCTCTCTCTCTCCCTCTCTCTCGTTTGCCTTTCTTTGCATGGTTCTGATACCTTACACTATTGATAAAAGAAGAGGTGATGTAGTCGTAGAGATTTCAAAGCTCAAGTCATTAAAAAAATAGAATCGAGAATACATTTAGGGTTTAGTCCATACTGAGGGTGAAACATGCAATTATAGAATAACCAAAGGGCCAACAAAGATGGGCGTAGTTGGTTAAGGGTTTGGCTCATACCCCTCAAGGGTGTGTGTTTGAATTTCTCTGGCCTATATGAGGACTTTGTTAGTAGGTGATATGTAATCCCTCCTGGAAATCCTCAAAGAGGTTGAGGGGTCTTCTCTAACACTAGTGGGATATCAGTATCTAGCCCCACTTAAACTTTTCATTATCCAAAAAATAAAATAACCAAGGAAATAATCCATTACTAGATATTATAGGATTATGGGGTATCTCCGAATCATTTGGTGGATAGGGGTGGACATAATGTACTAGTCTGAAACACTTTCCCCCAACTTAGTAGTTCATTGTGTGAGAGTGTAGAGCTATAAAGTGTGACTTGGATGATTTGATTGTTATTTGGATGAGTGTGGTGCCCGGGGTGTATCAAAGATTTAAAAGTCCAAATGAGGTTTGATGACATGGTGAGTTGTCCGGTGATCAGAGCAACCAGGTATATCTTAATATAGGGTAACTCTTATGACAATGGTACAAACCAAGCCCTTGTGAAGCTTCCCTGATACCATGCAACGTTAAAAATTGGGGGGGGGGGGGGTTGTTTAATGGTCAAGGTGGCTCTCCAATCGAACAGAGTAACAACTCATGAATATCTTCGAACAATACCCTCCTATGTAATGGAGAGGGTGTATTCATTTAATGTTGTGAGGGGCTGTGAGGCTGGATGGGATGGTTTCATCTGCCGTCACTTGCATTTGCCTTGGTATAAAGTGATGCTATGGCTCCATGTCCTTGGGATTAGGGGAAAAGTACCTACTTCCTCATAGGGAGAAGTGACTTGTGGAGTGTTAAATATGAGTCGCGTCATTGGGCCTAGGCTTAGGTCAAGCCATTTGGGCCGGCCAGAACACATGGATACCATAATTTTCCAAATAAATTGAGTTGAATAAATTGGCCTATTAAACTAGTGGGTCATTTAGATGGTAGATCAAGCAACTGCCTATGCTTTAATTGGTACTAGGGTTGTTAACGGGCCGAGCCAAGCTAGACTTTGATCTTAAAAGGCTAAGTCTGTGTTTAAATGTGTCAATCTACTCTAGCATGTTACCTGTTATGAATATAAGCATCGGCCTGTGGCCTGACTTATTTAAAAAAAAAATAAAAGCCTGGTTTAGCCTGTTAAAAAAAAAAGACAACAAAAATTTATTCAAACAGAATATACGATCAACAACGCTAATAATTCCACAAAGATTCATAAATTCAATGTATATCCAAAGAACATAATATAGAACAAAATCATTCAAAAAGTCTATTTAATCAATAAAATAGGGTGAAATAAGGTGAAGAGAGAGAAAGAGAGCTATTATGAGTAGTATAAAAAATATAAAATAAAAATGAAAGTTAGTATACTAGGCCAACTTAAGAGGCTCTAAGGATGGACTTTTGAATTCGAGTGTGAAGCCTTTTTATTAAACGAGCTTTTATACAAGTTCAAGCCTGATTCTAACATCCAATTTTATACATTTAAGCCCAAGTGTTCACTAGCCAGGCCAAAGGCCCCTAGTTTGTTTACCATCCTTAGTTGGTACAAACCGAGCCTGTTATGCAATGTCTTTATGTTTTCTTGTCGATTTATTGATTTAGTTTGTTTTATCATCAGTTGCATGAGGACATGGCAACCGAAGAGCAAATCAGAAACTTGATAAGGCGAAGGGCTAACCAGAGTGCGAGTTTCCCAACGTCGTCTCTCTATAGAGTATAGAAAAAATTGAGTAAGTAGATTTTAACAAGTTTGTGACACATTTTCGTAGGGGGAGTCAATTCCAAACCATTTTGAAAATATCAATAAAGAATAGTTTCAAAATCTATTTGTAAGACAAAGGTTCAGAACTAGTTTCAAAACCAATTCGATTCTGAATTAATTTCGAATTGGTTTTGAAATTGATTTTGAATTGTTTCTTAACATGAACTGGTTTCCAAATAGTTTGGTTCAAGAATTGATTTGAAAAAAATCAATTTAACTTTAGTTTTGAACTATTCCTACCTTTACTTGTTGCGAACACGACAAATATACCGATCGTACAAGTAATAAAGTGAATGAGTAGAGTATCGTTCCCACGAGAACTAATTACAAGCAATCATTTCACCTTTTTTTTATCTAAGTTAGACAATTCAAAAGTATTTTCGCACTTAACCAATATTTAATTAAAATTAAATAAAGATGAAAGTAAAAAAAAATTAAGTAAAAGACTAATTTAAAATAAAAATGAGTTTTAAAAATTGAGAATAAAAATGCAGCTAAGGTTTACTTCACCTCTGATTCCCTTAAGTGAATTAAATTAATTCAATAAAATTCTAACACTCTTGTTATCAAACGATTCATAATCTAATTATTAATTCGTTAAATCCCTCATGTAGTTATTTAACCCTTTAACCTAATTAGAATCCTAATTTCCTAGAAACCCTTCTTAGATTAAGCATTAAATGCAATGAATCTCACACACTTGCAACTCTCACCAGTCTATGTCTCAAACAAGCAAAAATTGGTATTTATCCTAGTCCGATTAAAATCCTAAATATTTCTATTTAGAAATTTACCCTCTTTATTCCTATATGATTGATCAAGTCATATAAGAAATTTAAATAAATAAATCAAGATAAATACATAACAATTGAGACATAGTTTTATTGAAAAACAATTTAAATCAAATAAGAGTAATCATTGGATCCATATCCCTGACTACTAAGAAAATTAGCCAGACATATTCATATCTGGCTTTAACAAAATATCAAGAGAAAATTAAACTAAATTCCTGGGTGAAGAATGAGGTTAAATCTCCACGTTTCAGCTTTGATCCTCTTCCAGTTCTTCACTGTCTCTAATCTTTAAGTTCTTTGTGTTGCACGCTTCAGTCTCTGTTCCAGCCTCCAATCTCTCTCTTGCCAGAATAATCCTCTCTAAAGTATTCCCTTTTTATATTAAAGAGAAACTTTCCTTTTTAATCTCCAATTAAATCTTCATAATACAAGATATCACAACCCATTAGATATTATTCCTCCTCCAAGAGTGTCTTTTTCTTATTGATAAAACAAAAAATTCCATTTCGTTTTATTTTAGAAATCAAATCTTTAGCGTGAAGCGTGAAATCAAATCTTCGGTAAATCTGGCTTTGGCATCTGTGAGAAAACGGCGCTTTTAGCACCACCCAACGGAAGCTAAGTAACCTGCACCAAACTGAGAGAGAGAATGGCGCCTTTGGCACCAACTTTTGTGTGCTTTACAAAAGGGTTGAAATTTTGGTGCCAATGGTGCCACTTTGTTAGAGAGATTGGCGTCTTTGGCGCAATAAGCTTTGAAGTTCCACTTTCTTCGTAATTGATATTCTTTAATAAGAAAAATTCTTACAAAACATATTAATTTCATGAAAGTATTCCTGAAGGTGAATCAACAACTATATCATAATTTTCTGTGTTTTGGTTGAATTTAATTTAATTAATTGCTCAATTTAACCTTTAATATATAATGAATTAAGGACTTATCACTACTCGAGGGAATGACGGTTCAACTGACAGACTTGACTTTGGCTGCTCAAGACCTCTCGAACAACTTCCTCATCGATGCTCCTGCTTTCACTATCGACTATTGAGACCACAACGTTCGCTTAGTTAAGAAGGAGAATAGGCAACGAATGTTCCCTTAGGTGTATTAAAGTCCTTACCCTAAACTTGCAAGAAAGTTTTTTAGCAAAGTTAATTAAACTTGTTTAAAGGAAATGTGTTAAGAGATATATTATATAATTATACAAATGCCTTCACATAACAATTTAAACGTTTGAGATAATTAATTTATTTCCTCCTTATAGTTCTGTTATAACTAAGCGGTCTGGAATTCGTTATTAAATTAATTGATTTATGACATCGTAATAGTTCTGTTCTAACAAAAATTTATATTAAACCTTGGTAAAGTTGGTTCATGAAAGTGCCCGTATTTGTTAACCAATTTTGAAGCAATCTATCCACTTCATACGTTGCCTATAGTCCCTTAGAAAATATTTTAAAAAAATTAACGCATATATAATTCAAAACATTTTGTGAATCGAACCCCAAACTTTCCCAAGAATAAGCCTGAATGCCCCGACTTAGATAAGTGTAATTGCTTTAACATAGGAATAGATATAATTATAATAATTAGCAAACGTGCTAAGGTAATTTAATCATGAACATTTTACAAACACAACTAAACACAGCACAAGGTATATTACAACACATATCTCATAAGCTCATGGCAACCATCTTAGAAGGCGAAGAAGCCAGCCACGGCGGCGACAACAGCAGAGACTCGAAGGGCGGAAGCACCGCTGGTGTTGTCATCAACTGATGCAGGATTCTCAGCAGGTGCCAAGTCACCAATAGGGGCTGGTGCCGGAGCACCGAGTTCGGTGGCCTCGCTAGCCGGAGCCGGTGGAGATGATGGCTCCTCCTCCTTGGCTGGGGAAGCAGCAGGAGAAGACTCCGCAGATGGGGTAGGTGGTGAGGCCTTGGGGGATGATGCTGGTGCTTTTGGTGATGGAGATAGTGCTTTTGGTGATGGCGTAGGTGATGGCTTAGGTGATGGAGATGGTGCGTCGCTAGCCATGGCCACCCCAGCAATGGCTACAAAGAGAAGAGCAAGAACAATGACCTTAGGTGCCATGTTGTGTTGTTGTTGTTGTTGTTATTGTTGTGTTTGTTTGAAAGCACTTAACACTGCAAATGACAATTGAATTGTGGGAAATGAGTTACCATTGGGAGGGTCATTTATAGGTTTGGGGTTGTGAGGGAAATCAGGGGAACCTGTGGTGGAGATAAGAGAGAGAAAGAAAGTTTTTAGAATTAGGGTTAAATGATAGGTTGTTGATGCCTTTTGTGTTGTTAGGCTAGTATTTGAAGATGCTCGAAAACTTAGGTATGAAAAAGCCCCATGTTTAGTATATGCCTTTTAGGCTTATGGCCTGTAACATATGCAGATATGTTTACTTAATTTAGATAACGACACGGTCATTTTTGTTTTTGTCTTGAACTTTTCAGAATACGTGTATTATTTTATTTGTTAACACTATATATATATATATATATATATATATATATATATATATATATAAAAAAAATATTTCTACGGTCATAATGTCATTTACATATAGTCCTCTCTGACTAAGTTTGACATGTGAGACATAGTTATTACAATAAAATAAAGTTGTTCTTTTTTTTTCTCTCTCTCTTTCCAGACATTATCGGCTTTAGAAATGTTTAACCCTATATATATATATATAGGGGCAAACATTTCTGCATCCACTTTAGATAAGCTTCTCTACAGTTACCTTTTTCACTAAGTACGACCAGTCGTACATTAAAATTGCATTTTCTCTCTCCTCCACGTCAGCCGACAATGTCTGAGGAAAGAGAGAAAAAGAACAGCTTTATTGTTATTACTAAGTACGACCGATCATCCTTAGTGAAAAAGAGTAGTTGTAGACAACCTTATCTAAAGTAGCTATAGAAATATTTTTCCCATATATATATATATATATATATATATATATATATATATATATATATATAGAAATATTTCTAAAGTCATTTGAGCTATATTTATCTCTGGTCACCTCAAAACTACATCATTTTGTTTATTTATTTTTGGCTAAATTATAAATTACCACCCTAAACTTTGATACTTTTCCAAAAAACCACCCTGTACTTTTGATTTAAGCAATTAAATTACTTACAGTTAAACATTTTAGCAATTCAACCTATCTGTTAAACTGAGAAGCAAATCCGTTAAATCTAATAAAAAAGCACGTGCACTTGCAATTTTTTTTAGAAGAGGACGATGGCAAATTGCATCATGCAGGTATCGATAATCTCTCGCTTCAACTCAAATCCTCTTGTGCCAAGAATTAATTGCTTAAACAAAGTCAAACTTAAAAGGGAAAGTTCCTGAAATCAATGGTCTTCTCCACCATCAGTGACTCCTCCCCTCGTCACGTCCATTTTTTTTTTCTTCTTCTTGTTCGTGTTTTAGTGAGAGAGAAACATGATGATGTTGTCTTTTGAGTATGGTGCAACAGAGAGGAACCACATTGGAAGATGATATGTTAATTTCGACATAGTAGCAGATTTTCCTATTTTTAGTGAATGATCTTTTGATTCTGAACAATTTTGAACAAAATCCAATGAACATTTTTGTTTTTCTTGGTGCCGATTATTTTGTTGAAGTTGAAATTTTTTGTTTTTTTGAATTTTCCTTTATTGGATCTTCAACTAAATGTGTGAAATTCCTATTTCTATTGTCTTTCTTCTTCCACAACTTGTATTGGGTTTGATTATTTTTGTTTCGTTGTTATTTAAACATTTGTGCATATTTCATAAATGGTTTAAGTGATAATTTTGATAGTAGTCTCAGAATGTCGAAGTCAAGAGGACAAACTCATCTATCTACTGTCATGTAGTCTAGTTTACAAAAATCGCATATCATGATGCCTTTAATCAATATATCGTTATTGTCAACATTGGTCACAACATTAAGGTTTTTACGGTATAAAATATTCACTTATTTTCAGATATTCACTTCGTGATGATAATGCAATGTTTCACTTTTTCTTTATTCAGAATCTGTTTGGATATCATTGAAATTGGGGAAATCAAATCCAATTTCAAAACTAGAGATCCATCAGAACATTATGAGAGGAAAGTAGTCAAGGAAGTGACCTCTACGACGAGATATTCAAAGACGACAGTATTCAAAACAACAGTGAAACATTGGAAGAGCTTGCACTGATGCACTAAATACATGAGCTCCAATAGAGAAAAGAACGAGTTTTGTGTAAAGAGAGAAGATTCCCTCACGTGATGCTTTAACAGAATTGAACGGAGATTTAACAGATAAACTGATTTGTTGCATCAACGTAGTCTAGGTAGGTTAATTGTTTAGAATGAAACTATAAGGTGGTTTTTTAAAACTTGATCAAAGTATAGGGTGTCAATGTGTAATTTAGCCTTTATTTTTTTATATTAATTGATTCACCTTTGAATGGTTATGATTCCTTTTTTCTCTCTCTTCTTTTATCACTATTGATCCATCTTTATATGGTTATGATTTAGTGGCCGGAGATAAAGTTATCTCAAGTGACTTGAGAAACTATAAGCATATATATATATAGGAAAAATTAAAAATTCGGTCACTGGACCGTCCAGTGCACTAAGTTCTCCCGCGAGAACTTAGTGCAATAAATATTACAATGGTGTGTGTTCTCCCGGGAGAACATAGTATAAATTTTACTATAAATGTGTTCTCACGGGAGAACATAGTGCACTAGACCGTTTTTACATCCAGTCACTGTACACTCACTAAACTCATATATATATATATATGAAAAAGTGTTTGTCATTTTAAATGACAAAAAATTACGTCATTTGAAGAGAGATACAGACACAGAAAATTTGAATTTTAAATTAAAAAAAACCACTCACTTTCTCTCTCCCATGATTTTCGTTTTTCTGTGTCTATCTCTCTCCTAGAATGACATAACTTATGTCATTTAAAATGACAAACACCAAACACACACACATATATATATATATATATATATATATATATATCGATTTTTAAGAACTTTATCGACAGAATTTAAGAGATTATCAAATATTTGTAATGACAAATTCAGCTTACAAAACATGTTTAGCAGCGATACCCAAAAACGAAAGCCATATATTCTTCCATCATTTATAAGTAGAAGTTGATTAATAAGAAAGAACAAAAGTTAATAATTAAAGATATTGATTAAGAAGCAAAAGGTGTAAGAATATACAGACCTTGGATTAGGTTTTTTTTTCATTAATAAATATTTTTATTTTCTAAAATTTATAGCATTATATATTGTCAATTAAAAATAAAAAAATTATGAGGCTAAAATCAAGTTGAGATCTAAGACAAGAGTTTTATTAGCCTTGCTTTAAAACCGACCATAAACAGCCTTTAACCTTATATTGGTGGGTTGTATGTATACCCTTCCAACGAAAATAGTGACAATTTAAACTTCGGATGTTACATTTTACTGTTAAATTTAGGAAAAAATGTTTGTCCTTTTAAATGACATAATTTGGATCATTTCGCTCTCACAAAGAGGTGAGACCCACACCTTTATATTTTTTTGTCCATTTTCTTTCCTCCTTTATCTATCTCTTTCTCTCACTTAAAATGATACAACTTTACATCCTTTAAAATGATACACACTTTTCCCTTAAATTTAACAGAGCATGTGATTATCGTTGGATTTTAATTTCTTATTTTTAATTATTACTTAAAAATGATTACAACAATATTTTTGTCGCGATCTCATAGGAAGCTGAAAATTAGAAAAACACAAATTAAATTTTAAGTGTTATTGATGTGATGTCTCAAGCTGGCATCATCATACGAAAAATCTATGGATTCTAATGTTAAGTTATTACCCGGACAAGGGGAGTCATTGGCAGACCCAGTCGTTATCGCAGATTAGTTGAAAAGTTGAACTATCTTTATATATAGACCCTCACCACTTCAGAAATTTTATCTAGTTTTCTTCACTGTTATTCTGCCGGGTTTTTTCCTTCATCCGATTTTTGCATACTTCCTTCCATTCTCCGATGTAATCCCTCTGACATCTTGTTGTGTTCGTTCGGGCTGTTAACTGGTAGTGCCACCAATCTTCAGACGCAATTCGTTTTATCTTGGGAGACAAGTGTCCATCAACCTTCGGCATCAGTGAGGGGGCAAATTGTCTTAAGGAGACACTTTCTATGGGCTCAAATTTCTTACACTATCCTGTATCCGTTAATCATTCTGTTCCATTATCTTAAGTCTGTTCTAATTTTCTTATTACACTGTGTTTGATAATTATGATTATTAATATCATATGTTCTATACACGGGTTCAAACCTCTTAGTGATTTTTAATATCACCCACTGTCTTCTAAATAATAATCTTAAGACAAGTTTAGTGTTTTGAATCTGTGATTAGTATATTCTGTTTTCTATTTTAAATACTATTTTTATTTACTGTGTGATTACTGTATTAATCTGTGTGATTAATTCCTGTTTCTGTTTGTGTAACAAAAACGGCAAGTGCAAGTACAAACTCTACCAATCCTACTGCTTCTGTTCCGATGCATGCTGAAAAACCTGAAAAAACTTAATGGGACAAATTTCAAGCGTTGACAACAGAAGATGTTGTTCTATTTGACAACATTGAGTCTGGAACGTTTCCTCAAAGAAGATGCTCCTAAATTGGATGAGGAAGAACAACTTGACAAGGAAAAGGTTGCTGTCATTGATGCTTGGAAGCATTCTGACTTTCTTTGCCGAAACTACATTCTCAATGGTCTAGACAACACATTATATAACGTGTACAATACCCTGAAGACCAGTAAGGAACTATGGGATAATCTGGACAAGAAGTATAAAATCGAGGATGCTGCCTTAAAGAAGTTCATAGCTGGCAGATTCTTGGACTTCAAGATGCAAGACTCCAAATCTGTTGTGAGTCAAGTTGAGGGAGTTCCATTGGATAGGTCTCCGTGAGCGAGTTCCAGTTGACCTAGGGTCATTGAGTTGTTATTCGTTGAGGAGCACTCTAGGAATGTCTCGGGTGTATATGGATGGAGGGCGCCTTGGTTGATA